CCTTCAATGTCACCGTACAGCCATGCATGCACCATCCACCTTCAATGTCACCATACAGCCATGCATGCACCTATACACCTTCAATGTCACCGTACAGCCATGCATGCATCATCCACCTTCAATGTCACCGTACAACCCATGCATGCACCATCCACCTTCAATGTCACCGTACAGCCATGCATGCACCTATACACCCTCAATGTCACCATACGGCCATGCATGCACCATCCACCTTCAATGTCACCGTACAACCGATGCACGCTCGTATCCACCTTCAACGTCACCGTACAGCCATGCATTCACCATCCACCTTCAATGTCACCGTACAACCATGCATGCACCATCCACCTTCAACGTCACCGTACAACCATGCATGCACCATCCACCTTCAATGTCACCGTACAACCCATGCATGCACCATCCACCTTCAATGTCACCGTACAACCATGCATTCACCATCCACCTTCAATGTCACCGTACAACCATGCATTCACCATCCACCTTCAACGTCACCGTACACCCATGCATGCACCATCCACCTTCAATGTCACCGTACAACCCATGCATGCACCATCCACCTTCAATGTCACCGTACAGCCATGCATGCACCATCCACCTTCAATGTCACCGTACAGCCATGCATTCACGTATCCACCTTCAATGCCACCGTACAGCCATGCATGCACGTATACACCTTCAGTGTCACCGTACAGCCATGCATGCACGTATACACCTTCAATGTCACCGTACAGCCATGCATGCACCTATACACCTTCAACGTCACCGTACAGCCATGCATGCATCATCCACCTTCAATGTCACCGTACAGCCATGCATGCACCTATACACCTTCAGTGTCACCGTACAGCCATGCATGTACCATCCACCTTCAATGTCACCATACAGCGAGCCATGCATGCACCATCCACCTTCAATGTCACCGTACAGCTATGCATGCACCATCCACCTTCAATGTCACCGTACAGCCATGAATGCACCTATACACCTTCAATGTCACCATACAGCCATGCATGCACCTATACACCTTCAATGTCACCATACAGCCATGCATGCACCATCCACCTTCAATGTCACCGTACAGCCATGCATGCACCTATACACCTTCAATGTCACCATACAGCCATGCATGCACCATCCACCTTCAATGTCACCGTACAGCCATGCATGCACCTATACACCTTCAATGTCACCATACAGCCATGCATGCACCATCCACCTTCAATGTCACCGTACAGCCATGCATGCACCTATACACCTTCAATGTCACCGTACAACCCATGCATGCACCATCCACCTTCAATGTCACCGTACAGCCATGCATGCACCATCCACCTTCAATGTCACCATACAGCTATGCATGCACCATCCACCTTCAATGTCACCGTACAGCTATGCATGCACCTATACCTCTTCAATGTCACCGTACAGCCATGCATGCACCATCCACCTTCAATGTCACCATACAGCCATGCATGCACCTATACACCTTCAATGTCACCGTACAGCCATGCATGCACCATCCACCTTCAATGTCACCGTACAGCTATGCATGCACCATCCACCTTCAATGTCACCGTACAGCCATGCATGCACCTATACACCTTCAACGTCACCGTACAACCCATGCATGCACCATCCACCTTCAATGTCACCGTACAACCATGCATGCACCATCCACCTTCAATGTCACAATACAGCTATGCATGCACCATCCACCTTCAATGTCACCGTACAGCCATGCATGCACCTATACCTCTTCAATGTCACCGTACAGCCATGCATGCACCATCCACCTTCAATGTCACCATACAGCCATGCATGCACCTGTACACCTTCAATGTCACCGTACAGCCATGCATGCACCATCCACCTTCAATGTCACCGTACAGCTATGCATGCACCATCCACCTTCAATGTCACCGTACAGCCATGCATGCACCATCCACCTTCAATGTCACCGTACAGCCATGCATGCACCTATACACCTTCAATGTCACCGTACAGCCATGCATGCACCATCCACCTTCAATGTCACCATACAGCCATGCATGCACCTATACACCTTCAATGTCACCGTACAGCCATGCATGCACGTATACACCTTCAATGTCACCGTACAGCCATGCATGCACGTATACCTCTTCAATGTCACCGTACAGCCATGCATGCACCATCCACCTTCAATGTCACCATACAGCCATGCTTGCACCTATACACCGTCAATGTCACCGTACAGCCATGCATGCACCATCCACCTTCAATGTCACCGTACAGCTATGCATGCACCATCCACCTTCAATGTCAGCGTACAGCCATGCATGCACCTATACACCTTCAATGTCACCGTACAGCCATGCATGCACCTATACACCTTCAATGTCACCGGACAGTACTCACTCAAATCACCAAAATTAGAGAATTTTATGTAGACCAATTTCAGTTGATGACATGCATAATACCCTCATCGCCCAGGTGACTGCCAATCCACTGTTCAGTCCAAGCAGTCCAAGAAACAGTTACATCTCCCAAGAAATAAGTGTATTAGGACAGCCTGACATAAACTGTAAGTTTTATCTTAGGACCGTTGGTCATATACACATACACAAATCAGTCTGACTTTACAGCAAGAACTATTAAGTAATATGGCTTAGGCGACACAATAGAAATGTTTCATTTAAACCAAGAAATAAAGTAATGAACACCCCCTTGACCACAAAAGTTCTGAAAAAGCATAAACGACCAAATCATGTCACTGCATTTATTCTCTGAAACGGTTTGTAGGACGCATACAAGGGGTCAGTGTAAATTCTTAGCCTCTCATAGAAGGACTTGCGTAATGTAATATCTTTTGCCGACATGACATGGCATGGAGGAAAAGGGTCACAGTCGAGGAAGTTCAGTGATCAAGTGCTTGCAAAATAGGGGCTTAAGAGCAAAAGCCACCCGTAAAGATTTGAGTACAGCACTTACGAAAATAGTGAGTGAGTGAGTTAAAATTTAACGTCGCATCGGCATTATTTCAGCCATATAGCGACGAGAACAATCAAATGACATCTGCTACTGAAGCTGTTAGCAGTACTTTTTACACTGAAGACACTGCTAATTATTGTCTACAAATTGAAAAAGTTGGAAGAATGATGTTGGATGATAAATAAAATCTCACCCTCGTGACTTTTGACATCAAATATATCAACACTCATTGATAAAAGTGGCAAAAATCCTCGGCAAGCCTCAGGATTTTTCCACTTTTATCAACTCGTGTTGATATATTTGATATCAAGAGACACTCGGATGAGATTCTCTATATATACACAATTTTGTCAGGAATACAAAGTTATGTTTGAAAACAAATTTATGAAACATATTTGGGCATAACAATATTAGCCAACGATAAGAAGTGGCCAGCAGAGTTTAAGGCTTGGCAGGGAGAGCCTCCATGACGACCCCCTGACCCTGATCACATCACCAACACCAGATGTGATCCCGGGAATCCACGAAATGGTGATGATTGACCGGCAAATGGCTGAGCATCATAATGCTAGTTCATTGGGCATTTCACAGGGGAGAGTATATTCCGTAATCAAACAAACTTTGGCAGTGAAGAAAGAGTCAGCTCGTTGGGTCCCAAAGCTTCTGACATCTGATTAAAAATGCATTTAGCACAACACGTCTCGTGATTATCTAACTGTTTGAAGCGGATCCAGGACGGTTCTTGCAATGATTTCTGACTCAAACATGCGCTCGTAACTTGATGACGTCGTAAATTGGACGACGTCATTATATGAGAGGAAGTGTCTCGTGAATTTGTTCCCCATAGATGTAACTGGGCAGCGCAGATAAACGCAATGGCCCAACTTTCGCACCAAACAGTGGGAGAGATATGACAATCGCTTTGGGAGAAAAGGTACAAGTAATCGACGTGAAAATAACTCACCTGTTCATAAAATGGACTTGTCCGACATTGCCGAGGTCGGATTCTATTGAGGGAGTCATCGTTATTTGAATACGGGTAACTATATGTAAAACTTTTACATGTTATTAATATCCTTAAAGAGGCTGTACATAATGTTGATATCTCATGTAATAAATAACCCACAGTACTTAATCAGCTGATAGCTAGATACATACATATGGCAGCTAGCTAGATGTGCTATAGGAAGGCGAAAATATGTCGGCTTTTTGTTGTTGGAGATATACAATCTCTTCAATCGCTTTATTTATTACCAGTATCCAAGTATGCTGTTGTCAGGGGCGAGTGTCTTTGCATTTGTACAATGACTAACGGTGTCAGTGACAATATCCTGTACACATATATAGAGAATCTGCAGGGGGGCGTGTCTCAACTTGACAAAGACTAGTATTCTGACTCAGAGGGATCATTTATCAGGTTCTCTTTGTGGTAGTCATTTAATGCCCTGATCTCATTTTACGCATGCGTTGTTCAACGAGGCACGCTTTATGAAGAACAATGTTGCTATGGTGAAGGGAAATAGCTTAAATATTTCCATTCAATTGAATTATCACCCAATCACGTGTGGTATGAGTAATACAGGTCTACAATGAAGAAACACACTCGTTCACAGTTTTTACACCTCTCACGCGATCTGTATTCACCAACGGATTCACCCAAGTAAATTGAGAGGACCCTAAACATCGCATCACACTTTTACAAAGAAATTGGTCATTAATTTTTAAGTAAACATTGTGATAGATGTATTCCGATGTTAGAGTGTTCCTCCGAGAAACTGATGATATGTCTAAACCAAACACGGATGAATCGCGTGAAATAAGGCTCCCCTAGCAACAAACAGGAAACCGCGCGTGACTCGGCTTGCAAGTTGCTTCCTGCTGACCCTGGTATACAGCGAAAGAAGCCGAGTTGTCTCGAAAGCAGGCGATTGGCCTGCACATGTGTAGAGTCTGGGATGCCATTGGGCAAATCCCGTAACTACAGGCAACAGTGTATACAACATGGCGGATCGTCTTGTAGGTGCAACGTTGTAGAACATACACAATGAACAGACCAGACTGCGTGTGATGGTCTTTCTTGTGTCAAGTTCACGTGCGTGTGTGTGAGAGAGAAAATAGACTAGTACACAATACTACAGAGCATATGCTAGGCTAGTCCCTTGGAATGTAAGTTCACTTTTGAAGACAATTATCATCATTCGAAACATTGTAAACATTTGTTTAAAATGGATTTCCTACATTGTTACGCCAAGCGTTGATCGTCTGTTATAGCACTTGCCGCGTTAGCTTGATGAGGGTGATAACATCCCTTTGACCCCCTTTTCAAATTTATACTTGCATATCTATATGCTCCTTGTCAATTACATCAAAACAAGCACTTTTACACCTATGGTCTACTGTGGGAGATACTGCCAAACATGAAACACACCATACCTTGATATAATTCAGTGGCAAAGCCCAGTTGATAGTAGTTAGACAGAGGGACACAGTGATTCAATGTCCACAATAAATATATACCAGTATACCTGTAATTGCGGGAGATGGCCAGTGCCCCAGACATTACTAGGTGTGTGTGTGTGTGTGTGTGTGTGTGTGTGGGGGGGGGGGGGGGGGGGGGGGGTACCATCTCCTTGTACTGCTACTATTCCTTGAGTTTATTCCTGATCTGCAAACAAATGTTTTCACCCTTGTTTTGTTATCTATTGGTGCTGGCAATCCTTTCTCTCCAACACTGATCACATCTAACACAATTAGCAATTAGGCAAACTTGATTAATATTTGCTTGCCATGGTAACATATTGTGCACGATAATAGCCTAATAAGTGATTTGTCTCCTTTTCATTACTCAACACAGAACTGAGACAAAGATATGAGGGCGTGTATGAAAGCATTAGGCCCCACTAATTAATTTATAGATTTTCATCCAATTTCTTTGCATAAATGTGAGGCAGGAGGTATCTTATTTATTTATTTTTAAGTTTTGTAAACAAACTGTTTGTTTATCCTCCCATGACATTAACTATGATTGGATGGGAATCTGATACAGATTGAATCTAATAATTATTGAATGATAGTCTTAACAATTATTTAATGATAGTCTTAACAATGATATGGTAGATATACTAAGTAAGAGCTGAAGGGAAAAAGTATAGACCAATGAAAACAACACTGAAATATGATTTTCTGAAAATATTACATGTTTGATATTCATTGCACTTGAACATTCCTACAATACATAAGGTATGACACTTTTCTTAATCCTCTATATCTCGAGGGCAAGCATTTCGGTAAACCTACACTAACCCTTGGATCCATTCACAGGGTTCTTTCATTCAAAATTGCCTGAGGGGACATGGGTGGCCCAGTCGTCTAAGGTGCCGCGATTCGCTGTGCAGAGTTGCATCAGAAACCTATGATTGTGGGTTCGAATCCCGGTTCGCCCCGATTATGTTTCTTTGTTTGTCAGCACCATACCCCTGCTCGTGGGTTTCACCTAAGTGGTAAACAAGCTGACACGCCGTGATATAACTGGAATACTGTTAAAAGCGGCGTTAAACCCAACTCACTCACTAAATTACCTGCCCTTGAGTTTCCTTAACATTTTACCAACAAATCAAACATCAACAAAAGGGAAAGGGAGGTAACTTATATTACCTAGAAACCAAAGTCAGTTTTGATGGACATGACGAAATCGTTTCCATCAGAGAGATTTTTAGGTCTTTTTTTTGTCTGTGTGTCATTGTTTTTCAATGTTGAATTTCTTGCAAACTCGATCATAATCAATTAGCCAACCCAACATTGAGACTGGTTTGTAACTCGCATTCTGATTGGTACATAAGATCTAGTAGTAACCAATCAAACTGGCAAATGGAATTCAAGGGTGTGTTATTCATAATAGTATGAACCACGGGAATGGGTAGGTTTACCGAAATGCAAGAACCCGAGTTACAGAGGATGCACTTTCTTTGGGGAGAAAACATCTTCCCTAGGCAAGAGAGTTAACTGACATTAAAAGTCCAGTTTCTGGGCTTGATTGTAGTGCCACCAGTGGCTATTAAGAGTTATGTCCCTTCTAAGCCTCTCTTATGGACCAATCAGTTTCCACCTCTTGTATCACTTGTATTTGCTTCAAACAAAATGGCAGCACCCAGTCAAGACATTCTAATTGATAATCAAGATCTATATTGTGATAAAATTGGCCATACGTTGCGAAGTGCGTCAAATCACATGAGCACCTTTGATTAAAAGCATGAAAAGATTTGGAAAATATCTGTTGACACCGAGTTGGCGGTGCACATCCTTTACAAATCCTGCAATCAACCGAAATCTACATGACAATTTACAAACCGTAGTTCGATTTCGTTGTGCGATTTTGATTGGACTTTGCAGTGACTCATTAGTCCAGCCAAAATGTAACTCCATAATACCAGCCTAGTTCAGCAAGGTTGGAAACTGGACTGCCCCTGTTTTACGGAGCTTCGTTTGCCTAATTGTGAGAGAGGTACTAAGCTTGTGAAATCAACTCCTCCTCCAGCTTTTAGAGAATATCCCTATACAAGATGTCGACATGTTGATGATACACATATCGCAGTCCCGTTTCATTTCGACTAATTTTGACAGAGTTACTGCCCCGGTTTTACGGAGCTTCATGAAATCTACTCCTCCTCCAGTTTCCAGAGAATATCACATTCTCTAACTATAACTATAACTATAGTTAGTTTCCTTGTATAAGGCTTTTGTGGGTGAGCTACATCCTTATGGCATTAGCATTCAGACTGGATAACTCCCAACAAAATGTTCTGCACAATTTGTTTCAAATGCAGTGCCATCTACTGTTGTTATTTCATAAAATACAAAGAAAATATAAACTCGTTAAAAAAATTCATGCGGGGGATGTTGTGCTCTGAGAGCACTCTTGTTGTAAATACATATCTTGTGGGTTTTTTGTTGTTGCTGTGTTATAACATTTGAAACAACAATAAGTATGTTTGCTGATTAATAGGTAAGCATGTGTATAGCCGACAGTAGGCTTACTTTTACATCAGTAACAATCATTAATACCTTTGAACAAAGTTAATTCAGGGGGTCACTAACAATTCCAACATTGATAAATGATAGCGTGTCAATGGTCATTTCCATACATTGAAAATACCCCGGACGTCAAACCAGCGTGTAATGCAAATACAGTCGAACCTCATTATCTCAAATGAACCCAAATCTCAAACCCATTTGGTAGTCTCGGTCCCGACCACACACTATATAAATACATATACATTTGCCAATCTTGGCCTCGGTCTCTGCTTTGACTTTACCATAGAATTTCTGCAGGATATATCTAGTGCCTTTCCTCACACTATCATCTATGCCTGTGAATGAATGAATAAATTGTTTATTTTAATGTCACACATACAATTACATATACAGATACGTAGTAAAACAATGTGGTATATGTTTTGCAGGGCCTGATTAGGCTGAGGAGATCCTGACAAATGTGTATATATACAGATATATTATACTTGTGGTATTGAAACAGTTTATATAGTTTATAAATATTATGTAATAAGATCTACAAAACATGAGTTAAAAGATGGTGGCACCTCCTGGTTACATCAATAGGTAGGGTCTTGACTGTTTAATTTATTATTTATATATGAACACACAAGATACCAAATTTGCTGTAGCAATAAAACCATTTTTTTCCTTAAAACATGTACAATGTGAACTATTTATGTGAGAATGTCTATGAGTTGATGTGCCACCAGGTTCCAGATGACAATGAAGATGGTGTTGAAGTTCACATATATTTTATATTTACAAACACAGCTCATGCATATATATATGTTTGTTGTTCAATGCTGCATTCAGCAATATTCCAGCTATATGACAGCGGTCTGTAAATAATCAAGTCTGGACAATCCTGTGATTGATATCATGTGCATCAACCAAGTCAGAGAGCCTGATCACAAGATCCTGACAGTTTTTTTGTTTTTTTATAAATTTTTATTCAGTCATATACACAGGATACATATGCACTCGAAAAACAGTACAGCTTCATGAATACAGGTACTTCTCAAAAGGATGTGGTACAGGGGAGGCCTAAGGCATAATCCACAGCATGGTACAGATGAAGGCATATTTATGTATACAATTAAGAAGATGCGGTATTTATGGTACATCAAATTATGTTGCAAGCATCAAGTGAATAAGTTATTTTGCAGTTTGAGTAAACAAAGCCCATTTTCTATTATAGGCAGAGAAGTCGTTATTTCTACGTGCAATATGATATTCAACGTCATAGATACTTCTTATTGTGTTCTTAAAAACAACATTTTCATTCTTAATACATTGGACAAAGATGAATCTTTTAGCAGCTACAATCAAATGGTTAATTAATACATCAGAGGTACCAAAGAGGAGCTCGTTGTCAGTTATAAGGATTTTTCTATGCAAGATATGAGTCAAGTAAATACAGAAATCTGACCAGAAATTCTTAACAGCATGACATTTATAAACATGAAAAACATTTTCTTTGTGAGATCCTGACAGTTGCCTCTTAGGACAAGCATGGGTTGCTGAAAACCAATATTAACCCTGATCTTCAAGGTTTATATATAGGTAGAATGTACACAAACATGTAAGATCTGAGCTAGGACTGCCTCATTATGCCCTGTCTTCTTTGGTGTACAATCTCTCTCTCACACAAATGTGTGTTGTCATGTTTTCATTGGCAAAAACATGTAGCTCTAGAATGTGGTAGGTCAGACTAAATATTAATACACAGAAAATAGTGACAAGCAGCAGGACTATGAAGTGAACAATCAATATAGATTATCTGATGCTTCGTTTGTGTTTTCTGGACATCAATTGCTAACTAACCAGAGGATTGGCATTTGGGAGTACTTTGAGGGATAGCACACAGTAAAACACATCCAAGGATTGGCATTATACTGCAGCCTCACAGCATCATAGCTCATTCTGATCTGTTAAGAATATATTTTCTGATATAGTGCATTTTATGGATTAAATATGCTTTAAGCATGTTAGGCAAACAGAGCTGTAGGGATACAGGATATGGAGATGTGAGGTGCTTGATACCTTGTTCTGATAAGACAACACCATTATCAATGTCCATATCCTAATGTGGAAGCCGATATTGTATGTGACATGGACTGATGGTTTCAATCTTTTTCAGCTGCTGATGAGAAGTGAAACATCATGGGAATTGAAGATGTTAGTGTGGTGTTTGACCGATTGGACACATGCAAACTTGGTTATGTTACTGCTGGACAGCTGCTTGACCTGCACCATACTCTGAACTTCAGTCATGTTTCCATCCAGCATGTGAACACAGCCATACAGCAGGTTTGTGGGCAGGACGGCGCGGTTACTCGCACAAACTTTGTGGATGTGCTGAAGGAGATAGAAAGGCTGCAGGCAATACATGAGCAGGCGTACTGGGACTTCCAGGCTCTAGATTATGATGGAGATCACAGGATTACACTTAAGGATGCTCTTATGCTCTTCAAGGAGTTCCATGGTGAGAATTTCAGTATGCAGACTTGGCATGACTTTCTCAGTTCAAGGGTTGAGCCAAATACAGATGTATTTTTTGATGAGTTGTGTTCATGGCTGTGTGTGCTTTCTTCTGGAGACGAATGTTCTCAAGAGCAGATGGCAGCTGAGAACACAAGACTAGCTGGGACACAGTTTGATTTCCTGGAACATCAGTATCATACTTTGTCACAGTTCAAGGTAAGGAGACTTAACTATTAATTAATTCATCTTATATTATTTCATCTTACACATCTTGATGACTTCTATAACATTTGGTAGAATTGCCAAGGGCTTTTCTCATTACCCTGGAGCCATGACATCTATATACCTTGAAACACTTAATTGCTGTTATTTATAAGATGCTTATCCTATTTGTTAATCCCCATTTTTGTGTACATCGACCGTCTGCCATCCTGAACGAGATGTGCAAGTATGTCACTGGTGATTTACTGTTTACATTTATATTTATTACTTACTAAATGTCAGGTGACCTTGGCTATATAAGCCTTGGTCCAGAGGAGAAAAGGAAGGTCTTACCCTTAGCCTAGCTAGGGTTAGGCTGGGTGCTCCGGGGCACCTAGACAACAAGCACTACCACTATGTGCTGACCCTGCACATAGTGTCTTTTGTATGTATATATCTACATGTATAAAGTAAAACTGTATATACCGCAAGCAATCGTCTCCAAGTTGTCACTTCCTACTGAGAACCATACGTCGGCCCCTTGCATATACAAGGATGCAAATTATTCATTAATCAACGTCAGACCGACACGCGTTGTTAATTCTACAAAATCTTGATACATCACAGGGATGACATACTAAGCATATCTACTTCATCTTTTGACTGACCACTTCATAATGTCATGATAAACACCAAACTTGAAGTGCATGAAATGTGCTTGGAGGAAATGGAATTATTACTTCCTTATCACAGTTTATATGTATCTTTGTGCAACTAGATGTAACAGGACATGAAGTCATCCAACAGAAGGTATCCTTACCATCCTTATCCTTGCTAGGTTAACCTCTTTGGTGAGGTGAATCAGGCATGCTGCCTCAGATCAAAAGGTCTATATTTGGATTTGTTTTGGTCATTACATTGGTGCCCAAAGTGAGGCTGATCATGTTGATATCACATTTGGGCAATATAAGTCTGTATAACGTACTATGCAGACCAGAACACGCCTTCTGTTGATAGGGGAAAATACAGCATGTATCCTTACTTTGTCAACTTACAGGTGGGGTTAACCACTTTGCTCATTTGAACAAGGCATCCAACCTCAGCTAGTTCCAATCCCAGCACAAGACTTGGAAATTACTTGGCAATAGCTACATAGACATTGAATGAGAAAGGTCATTGACAGAACTGCTTTTAAATACAATTTTGTTTAGAAATTGAACATGATTTTTCTTGGTTTGTCAGAAAGAAGACTCAAGCCATTTAGATGACATGAAACACTGTGCTAATAGGAAGCTCAGCAGGTAAGTAATTCAGACAGAGCTGATCTTGTATGTAGCAGACTAGCTACTGTCCAACATGTTGCAGGAGGTAACTGACTATTGAGTTCGGGTTGTTGTTTCTAGTTCTCATCTTCAAATATTCAGGGCAATATGTACTCGTCCATCTACTCTGGATGTTTCAAGGTTAAGCCAGAAGTTGGTGTGTACAGGTCAACAAATAACTGCACAGATCAGTGAACAATAAATAAATTATATTTTAAGAAACAGGATTTGGTTTGCAATCTTAAAAAGGCAATGAATCAAATATGTGACCACAGCAATGCATAAATGCCAGTGCACTCACAAAACTCCAATCTTTGTCACAGTTGAATGTTTTGAATGAGGCACATGCTCTATTCTTGAATCCAGGAAACAGTGTTGGAAGCATGTAGTAAAGTGTTTCTGATGTGTATCCCGTCCACACAAGGCAAGAAGATAAGATGCAAGTCAGATCATAGAAGGAAGACCACAAATTGCAGCTAGTCTCACGATTTATATAGGCACAGCCTGTCTTCCCGAAAATGCTGCCTCAAAGCATCACAAACAATGTAGTTTATGACTGAGCTATCTGAGTTTGGACTGCTAACCCTACCCACAACAACAATAAGCTCAATATTTTATGAGTGTCTCAGTCTTCTGCCACAATAATCTTAAAAACATAAATGGACCGGCTATGTGGTCTAGTGGTAGAGGCTCTACCCGGAGAGCGAAAGGTCCAGGTTCAATCCTCAGCCGTGTCATACCAAAAGGCATGGTACTTGTTGTTATCCTGCCTGGCACTCGGCATGAAGGGGCTGAAAACAAGGACTGGTTGGTTCGGAGTCTGTGTGGGATATTTATATTAAATTGTGGTATGGTATCTCAATGGGTTAGCACTATAAAATCGATATTAGTCCCAACTAGTACAAGCAGACACACAAGTGCATGCATTTCACTTTAGCTCACCTCACCTGAAAAATGAACTTGCATTAAATACTGCCACATGACATTATGGAATTTATAATACTCAAGAAGTATTTTTGATTTTGGACAATGTTTAAGTCATCGAACAAATTCCAATAATTCTTACAAAAACAAAACCTCAATCACATCATTGCCAGAAATCTTGTATTTTGGCTGTCATCACAGTATAAAATCTTTGCATTTTCAACAGAAGTCCTCTTCACTGCCAACTATCCATAACCAGTTAAGATACTAATAGTATTGCCCTTTATTTGAGAAACTAAATGACTAGTGGGAGTTGTTTATTTTACAATAAAACACTGCAGGGAGAATAAACCATGAGAGGTGCAGCCCAAGTCAGGCTTATTCTCTCTGCAATGTTTTATTGTATGATAACCCTCGACCACGAGTCATTTATTTCTTATATGAAATATCAACATTATATACAGCCTCTCTATGGGTGATTATAAAGTGTACAAGCTTTAAAATATTTACCTGTATTTAAATAATGATGACTCCCTCAATAGAATCCAACCTCGGCGATGTCAGACAAGTACATTTTAGGCACAGGTGGCTATTTCCTGCATATTCTCACAATCCTCACGTCGATTACCTGTATCTTTTCTCCCAATTCCGATTTCATATCTCTCCCGCTTTTGGATGTGATCATTTGGCCAATGCGTTTATCTGAGTTGACCAGCTACATTTATGGAGAAAAACTCACTGGACACTCAGCTCTCAAAAGTAAAGTTTTTCCAATATACAACATCAAATTGTAAGAGTATGTTCAAATCTCCAGAAATGATGTCATGATAGAACAATGTTTTATTGGGAAATATACCATGCTTTGTTCTTCATTGTTCTTTATCATATAGCTATCTTATATCAGTCAATAAATTGTAGTTGCTTTCACACTGTAATAAGTTTAGAATGTCAGTTCATGCAGGTTATAATATGACTAGATCAAGCTTTTCAGTTTCATGAAAGCTGAAGAGGATTATTTAAATTTTATTTTATTTTCTTGGTGGTAACATTGTGGAATAAATTGCCGTCCCACTCCACCAACTTGTATGCCGTGGGTTTTTCAAATCCTTTAGTAACCCTCGTATCATGTTCAGGAAGTACCGTTCTGATTGATGTACAGGAGAGTCCCGATGCATCCAGTGTGTTTTCTTTCCCATGGCTCCACCCTAGACAGATACCACACTTCAGCAGGCTGAGAAAGTTTCCACGGTGAAGAGCCACAGGAGGGGGAGCAAGTATCAGAACCTGGACCAGAGAGACACCATAGTAGATTAGGTCACTATAGGCTTGGGTCGGGAACCATGGAAGGCCAGCAACCATCAGTCCCAGAGAAGGAAGCCTTCACACTGTTCAGCTGGATCATGGTACACAATCCTCACAGGCACTGCGTTGAAGGCCGGCAAGCCTGCTTGAGCTTTGGAGCCAGAGGCATTTCCCACTAGGTTCACAGACAACACTGTCACCATGGACACAGCTGCATGGAGAACATGACCCGCCTGGGAAAGGGTCGGACACAGGATGGGTACTGTACGGCACACTCCACTGCACATCCTACATGTTTGTTTGATACAAATAGGTTTATCATGGACAACACAGCTGGATGACATACCAGGTAGAGACCGATTAGTGCCTGGTCTCCAGTGTGGATATCATGGTTAGTTGGGATCCTGGACCTGTCTGTTTCACCTGGTGACCCAGTCAGGAAGAGGACTGGAGGCTTTGCTACATATGCACACTGGGCTGCATGTGCAGTGAAATATTTACATGCATAAGATATCACAGAGAGCAAACTGTTAATGCACTGGTGACATAAAGCATTCTAAAGCAAGGCTATTCTGACCAATGAGAGCCATACTTTTGATTCACTTTGTGTCAAAATAACTGTTTTCTCATTAATACAAGATCTCTGATTGGTTGTAATATTACAACACACTCAAGTCAGTTTTTTTTCTTCCAAGTTTGAACTCAGGTGGTCTCGGAGCAGACTAGGGAGACTGTCATAAACCAACCTATCAGTGCCTCTCAGGGAGGTCACCATCATTGTCAGGCTCCCCAATCGTTTTGGATTATACTTTAGTGACCTGGCTGTGTCTATGGAATTAGTCAACTGCTCTAAAGATTAAGGAAATGTCTGTTTCACGTCATCATCATCATCCAGCTTCGTAGATTACATTGCCAAAGCGACTATCTCAGGATGGCCCAAAACTACAATATCTGCTGGCAGACAGAAATGGCTTCTCCCATGGTCGGTATTTTTATTGATATGAATCAGGGCTTTGACTACCAGCCCCATGTCAGAGAAAACAGTAGAAGAAGTGTACGACTGTGGCCAGTGTTGCTCCCATCAACTTGATGTTTCCCCCACCTTGCCTGGAAGAGAGTGAGCATACTTTCTGCAGCAACAGCCTTGGAAGGCAGTTTACCCTTTCTACTAGGTCAAAGGTTAACAGCATATGATCATGCTCATAAGTCATGATGTCAAGCTAAATTTCCACTGAAAAACGAGTTATTTGGTAAAGTGTCATGTATGAACTTTGCATTTTATTGGTTGTCGCACTGCAAATATGTACAGGATAATGAGTGGTCATGAGATGTGGTGATGTGTACTGAACTCCAAGTGAGCATGCAGCTACTACATATGTTGAGCATGAACTGACAACATATGTTGATAATTTGTTTGAGGATTTTGTGGTGAGAAAGTGTGGTGGTACTACTGGAAGGAGAATCAACATACAAGGAATAAAGAGGCATTCCACTGACACCACAAGGGTGAACCTCAGCACCTAGCTCAGCCTGCACCATGTCTGACTATGAACATATGTAGTAGTAGTAGTAGTAGTAGTAGTAGTAGTAGTAGTAGTAGTAAGTGTTTCCACTCCATCCTGCTCCCTCAATGTTTTTCTGTCAAGAATAACAACAGATAAATTTTTGAAAGCAATATGGTGAACAAGAATACATTTAAACCTTGTCAAGTGCATTTATTTGCACTCTTTAACTGTTGGCTCTGAAGAAGAGGATGTAAAACTGTCTCAGACATATCTTGTCCACAAGAAACAGGATCAGAAACAAGATGACAAGATCAGAGACAGGGAGGTTGCACAAGATACTCTCTACATCAGTTTGTGCGAACATGATGCTTACGTTAGAACTGCTCCAGTCATGTTTCCTTTTGACTGCTATTCATTTTGTAATGAATTTTGAACTGAAACACATTCAGTGTCCGACAAAATGTCTTTTATTTTGTAAATTGTATTTCAGTCCCATATTTTATAGCAGATGCTACAATAGTTGTGCTGACGTATATCCCCAACTCACCTCTTTTTGAAGCATACATAACATATGTTCTTTGGCATTTTGTAGACAGTTAGATATACTAAGTATAAAAGAATTATGATGAATAACTAACACATTCAGTTATGTTATTGACAAAATTAATACCACTACCAAATACAAATTGTTTCCCCTCTCATTATTTGTACCCATCACTTGTATTTCAACATTTTTTAACTTATCTTGCATAGCTCCTCAATTCATTTACTGCTTGCTTTGACAGTAGTGAAGCTGTGATTGGTCCTGCTGAAGAGAGAAAAAAGGTTGTTCTGTTCCATGAGCAGGACCATGACCCATAATCACCAGCTGCCACATTGTGACATCACACGTCACACATTCTACACAGAACTTGGAAACACTGCTTGTCTGTCTAACATACAGTTCACAGTGTGGTTTGTCCGTCTGTGGAGCATGAACCTCGTTTCCAGCAAAATGCTGGATCTGAGGTTTCTGCACAGATGATCACATGTCAAGAACTTGCAGACTGTAAACAAACCCGACTTTACCGAAATTAGGTCAAATGACCTGATGCTAGCCGTTACTTCAATATATACTGAACAACAAAAGTTCCTGTGACATTGAATAAGATTTAATGCAAAGTTATGTTTTTTACCAAATCTGAAACAATTTTGGTTTGCTACAGATAAAAGACTCCTGTAAGTGTTCAAATGGTTTAATTTGCCATACTGACTTCAGAAAATGCGTGATTTCATAAAAAACATGAACATGCCAAAATGTCAATTTACAAATCAATAGCATGTGTCCACCTCTGGTTGCGATGCAAGCAACACATCTTCATCTGATGGAATGGACCAGGCGTCGCACAAAGCCCTGTGGAATATCTGTCCATATCTCCTTGAGCATGTTTCGAAGTTCCTGGAGTGTCTGTGGAACATGTGTTTGATGTTGAAGGCGCTGATCCATCTCATCCCACATGTGCTCGATTTGTGAGAGATCAGGGGAGCGAGCCGGCCAGGGGATGACATTCATGTTGTTTTGTTGAATAGAATCCTGAACAAGCCGAGCAATATGAGGCCGGGCGTTGTCATGTTGAAAGGTAATGCCTGGGCCATGATGATGCAAAAGTGGTAGAACAACCTACTAGTACCGGTAAATTCACTCAGCAGATTACCACACCCCACTCCAGGCAGGTTTCATCTGCACATCTGGTATATTTGCAGAGCCCAAGGCAAGAAAGGCTATTCTGCTGCTAAGGCCATCGCTTTGGCACATTGGCCTTCAACTCAAGGCCTTTATGCTGATAAGTGGCTATCATTTGAAACCTGTTGTAAAGAAAAGGCTGAAGATCCCACTAAACCTTTCCTCAATCCTTTGTCTTGTATCGTCTACACCTGCATACCAACGACACTTGAATTGAAGAAGAATTGCGCCTTAAGGAGAAATGCAGGATAAGTTAAAAAATTAGTAAAATCTAGATATTTTTTATATTTGTATACTTATTCTGCATTACTACGTCTAAGGGCCTACCTGTCACAGACTTGCCTCATCACGATAACTGGAAGCAAATTTCGTGTGACCAAGATTAATATGAAAGTTCTGTGCTGTCACCACTTCCGGGATGATGTGGCAGCCTGTGATTGGGATGTAACAACCATTTTTCTCTTCAGCAGGACCAATCACAGTTTCATTTCTGTCAAAAGCAAGCAGTAAATGCATTAAGGAGTTATGTCGGATAAGTATACAACTATAAGAAATATCCAGATTTTACTAGTTTTGATCTCAAAATGCACCTTGTATTTTCCAAAAAGCTGTATTTGCACTCGCTACTTCAGATGGAACCAATATGGAATTGAGTCTGTACTGTTTGATGATGGCCGTGATGTAGGACTTGACCATGAAGTAAAAGTCCGAAGGTCAAGGGAGTCTGTTGGAATGGTGGAACTCTCGGCTGCTCTAGACAACAAATACAGCAATTTACTGGACAAGCTGCTTCTGGAAATGGCCAAATATTCAGCAAGTAGGTGGATGGAATTGGACATAGACATTTAAGCACAAAATTTAGAGGAGTAGAGTACCCACTACTAGCCCCTGTCTTAAGGGGGGGGGGGGGAGGGGGGGGATATGTTAAGGTTGTCAACAGAGGACTTTCTATATAGTGTACAAACTATCATCAGGAGGAGGCCTAGGCTGAATTCTCCCAACATGAGCAAAACAGGGGATGGGATAAATAACTTGGGTTGAAATCTTTCTCTTACATATAAATAACAGTGTGAAGATATGGCCTTAGCTAAGAAACTGTTTCGATTACATTTCATTTCTTTTTTCTGTTTATACAATTAACATCAAGGGTTATTGAAGAATGTTTTTTTATATTTACTTTGATTTTGAGGTAAATACAGTACTTGATTATGATATGAAAAAAAAGAGAAATTACAAGATTACAGATAAAGAAAATCACTACATGTGCATCTACCCATGGCAAGGGAGTCATGTAACTTTAAAAGTCCAGTTTCCACCCTTGCCGAACTAGTCTAGAATTATGGACTTATATTTTGGCTGGACTTACAAGTCTATGCATAGTCCAATCAAAATCACGTAAAAAATTCACAGCTGTTTCGTAAACTGCCCTGCAGATTTCAGTCAAATGCAGGATTTGTAAAGCATGTGTACCGCCAACTTTCCAAATCCTTTCATGTTTTTATTACGGGTGCTCATGTGATGCTACGATCGAGCCCAGAAATTCCCGCCTAGTTCAGCAAGGATGGAAACTGTACTTTCCCCTTGCCTTGGGAAGATGCTACATGTGTTGCAGTGTCTTTTTCTTAGATTAATAAGATCATGTACATCGGTCTACGAAATTCTTAAGTTTACATTCTGTAACAGTGTTTAGGTGTCATTATTACTCTGACTGCTCTATAGTTAGTATACAGGAACATCAATGAGTGCTATATTTTTTAACTTATCCTGAATTACTCCTTAATGCATTTACTGCTGGTTTTTTTTTACAGAAAGACGAGGCTGCAGAAAAAGTTGTTCCAACCAGTGGTGTAGCACATTACTGTGTTGTCAGTCAACAAGGACAGACATGTTTTGAGAATAAAGCCTCCTGCAGTTTTCCAGCATCCTTTGCTTGTTATTATTCAACATTTTTGGTCTTATCCATGCGTAGTTTATACTATATTTCAGCTTGTTTGTGGCTCTCAGTGATGGTTCCTTCCCACCATTTTTAAATCGCCACTCTTTTGTATTGTTTATCGCATTGTTGCTTCTGCAGTCCCCTGTCTGAGAAGGACTTCTCTCTCTTCTTGAGAGCTGCTAAGAAGCGACATACTCAGCACGCCTACAGACACCCTATGATGTCCGCCGTCACAGCATTCGCATCTACCTGGGCGGTAGTCAACCACCCCTCATTTTTTACCTATAAATTCTACATATAATTCTAAGGTGTACTATTTACCGATATCATATACTATATATGATGTGAGCTACATAACCTAGTACATTCTCTTTATGCCTTTGTGTCATGAGGCTTCTACAGAGCTATTCATATGCGAATCTGCGAAGTTATTGTTATTACAATTTCATTAGATCATCAGAAAGTGAGCTACATGAACCAATATTTAATAACCTTCATTATATTTCTGGTTTTGGCATCAAGGAAAAAGATTTCCTTGCCAATCTAAATACATTTGAAGGTACACACAGACATGCCACGTCGGGGGGATATGTCATTATCGGATGACTTGTTCATATGCGCCCTAGGTGCCCCTTCTTGATGGAGATCCTTACCCCATCTACTTGTACTGGATCATCACGTGGTTCAGCTTCTCTCGGCTCCTCCTGGCACAGCTCTAAATTATCTCAGTCACATCACCGTTCGGGCAGCGGTTGAGCGTGCTTATCGCTCCGACTCCTCTGAGGGAGTGTTCGTATCTGACTTTTGACCCTCCCTCTCCGGACTTGGACACACATCTCAGGATGAATCAAGTTGCTGAAGGGATGGCAGATAGATTGGCTTTTGTAGCACCATCTCGAGGACCGAAACATGGACAAGAAGGACAAGAAGGACACAATATGGTTCCACCCAACGTCCATCCCTCGATGAGGACTTTGCTAAGCTCTCACACACTCCATCCTTTATGGCGCCTCATTATCGAAAGGGGATGGCTTCCCAGTCCACTAGTTTGATATCGACAATGGCGCTGATGACCTTCATCGCATGACCGCTTCATGGAAGCCTACGGGGCGGCTGGGTAGCCTAGTGGTTAAAGCATTCGCTCGTCACGCCGAAGACCCGGGTTCGATTCCCGACATGGGTACAATGTGTTAAGCCCATTTCTGGTGTCCCCTGCCGTGATATTGCTGGAATAATGCTAAAAGCGGCGTAAAATCAAACTCACTCACTCACTCATGGAAGCCTACAACCATCCGCCAGACAAGCCCTCATTGAATCAGAAATTAGACATTCTCTTAAGCTCCTGTCAACTCTGGCGTCTTCTGCCAGTGTGATTGATCAGGACTTATCTGAGACCAACCCTAACAGGATCGTCTATCTGCAAACTGTTATGTCCTACCAATTACCACGTGTGGAACCACTTGTGGGCTGCTCTGATGGATATTACTACCACTCGGCGCCTTGGATATCTTGTGTTGACAGAATGGGATTCTGAATTCAAGAAGAAACACCCTGGTTCATCCTTGTTTAACAGTGCAATCACTGATACTCACACTTGAGTATCCAGTTTTGCAAGAGAAGAAATGGATCTTAAAGCCCTGGAACATGTCACGAAACATGCATCGGCTTAGTCTTCCTGGGGGAATTATCAGCCTCACTGGAGCTCCATTAAGGACCACTCTTAAACTTGCTCCAGTTTTCGGGCAGAGGGCGCGTCACCAAGGCAAGGGTGTGGATTAGAAGGGCAAGCGCTGAACTGTTGGACAACAACAACTGAGACCTCCCAACCCCAGTTGTTCCAGTCACCGACACCGCCCTAGATGGAAGACTTGGCAGGTTTGGGAAAAATTTGGCCATACCAGAGGACCAGTTTGTCACCAAAGTCCTCCACTAGGGGTACTGTCTCTCATTAGACGTCATCACCCCTGACAAGGACAACTCCTAGGACAACAAGACAGTTCATTCACCATCCCTCCCCTCTCATTGATCGTGGGAGCAGAAGATGTGCACAGTGTGTGCTTTAAGATGTTTCCTCAGACATTCAAAACACAACGCAAGTCCAGGAAATGCCTTTTTATACTGGTTTTGCCTACTTTGCAGACAGAGGTTATGGGTAATACCATCTCACTATGGCTTTGGGCGATCATTCTTCAGACAAACGAAGCGGCCGGTTTGGACCCCCCAAAAGCCAACAACCCTCAGGGTGGTCATGCCACCATAGCTCTCCATAGCAACTGCTCGATCAAGTCTATTTTGGAAGGGTGTTTTTGGTGCTCTGATACCATCTTTGCCTGCCATTTTCTACAAGACTTGGCCTCAGAGGATGTTGCTGGCGTTCATAGCTTTGGTCCCTTGGTATTGACTCAACAGGTCACCACCCCCCTGTGGCATTGATGCTCTTGGACTCGCGAACTGGCCCATCAATCTCTCTGGTTTTTGTCACCCAAGATTAAAGGCTCGCATTCTTGGCGCATTAGCTTGGAAGGTCAGTATTAGATTCTGGCTCACTCTTTTTTCTATAACTCTTCCTTTACCTGTTCTGATATATCTTCACACACTCGTTTTCCTTCTGACGGGAATGGTCATTGTTTCCGGTCTTCACTCAGGATCCTGTACTGCTATTTGGACCTTGGCGAGGATTATTTCGGATCACATCTGAAGGTATGCCCACCACCGTACCATCTCATTAAGATGCATTAAGAAGTAATGCAGGATTAGTTAAAACATTTAGAAAATCTAAATATGTTATACGTTTGTATACTTATCCTGCATTACTTTGGCTAAGTGCCCTCCGGTCGCAGTGCTACCTCCCCCCACGAAGTCTTCAGATGTTACTTTTCTTCCAGTAATGTGCTCATAGGTGACGTCACCCTCTCCTCCGGGACAAGTGCCAACTGTGTGAGGGTACTGCTACACCACTTGTTGGAACAACTTCTTCTGCAGTTGGATTTCTCACCGCTTTGCTTTCTGTAAAAAAAACCAGCAATTAATACTTTAAGGATTTACGCAGGACAAGTATACAAATGTTAAAAATATTTAGATTTTACCAATATTGACCCATCACAACTAACTTGTTGGAAGTAGTTGTTTACAAATGACAAGCTAATTAGTTATTTCAACAATAATTTACAAAACTAAGAGTTTTTTCTGTAGTATACATTAGCAATTGCAAGAAATACAGTATTTTGAATCAAAATAGAAAACAATCAAACCCACCTTATAGTCAACGAAACAGATAGTTTAAGTACATGTCATTTATGGATCATCTGGACTTAGCTAATACAAGCTGTTACCTATTTACCTAGGCATAAATTTCATTTGATAAGCTGATAATATCAGTTAGAATTTGTCAACCACAGTTCTAGGCAGATACATGCTTAACTACGACCACATATGCTGACAATATCTTTCAGGTGCTTTTTTTCAAAACTATCTCAGTCAAAGGTATATATGAGTCATAATTCTTTTCTTAGTGTCAGATAAATCTTTCTTTCTTGTGTAAAGCCACATGGGATTTGTTGCAATAATAGAACAAGTGACGTCCTTTTGGAACTCTTGTGATAACACTGTATCGTAGCATTCTGAGCCATCAACAATGGAGATGTAGATTATACTTGTGAGTTGACTGTTATGTGGTTTTATTATGTAACTGGCAGTGAGATAGTAAAAACCATCAGTGAAATAATAGCCCTTTGCTGCCCAGTTCATCATCACTTTCAAGAGTGGGGATGTCATATCGCCATTGGTCAAAGTTCATGGCTCAAGGTCAGGGTCTATCTCATCTCATGGTCAGAAGTAATATTGTCACTTGTTGCTATGCCACTTACTAAAATAGCAATTGTGTTTGACAGCCTCCATTAAATATCCTCTGTGTGTGTGTCTGTGTATGAATATATATAATATGTCATTTGACATATTGTTTTACATCATATATTTTGTACTTTACCCAAATCTTCAGCTGTGGACACTGAAATCAGCGAGATGTACCAGCAGCTGAAACATGAAAGCTTGGCTCTGAAGGGAGGCAACCTGGAAGAAAAGGTGTCTGACATGGCTGGTAGTCGGGCCTGGTTGTCTGGTAGTGTTGCTAGCTTCATGGGAGAAGTTGGAGCTCCTCTGGAAAGGCGGCACAGGGAGCAAGAGGCTCAAGTACTACAATTAAAAGCAGAAGGGAAATCTGACCAGTTTATTACGGATGAGATGACGTCACTCTACCGTAACAGTCTGGCTGGTGAGTATCTTGGCTGTTGGTCACAACACACATGTATCTCAGTTGCACTGTTTAGAGAGTATCCAGTGAGCTACCAGGAATGACATATTATCTGTCCCAAGAAAAGGGATGGTGTAAGCCCTGAGTTTTGTCTATGCAGGTTTATTGCTGGTCTCGCAAGCAGTCTTCTTGGAGTACAGTTATCAAATGTTACCAGCATTCACTTTGTAAAGACATTGTAGACATGTATGTTTGTAGTTTTCTAGACATACTGTAAGTATGTCACTCTGCTTGGCAAGAGGTCTGCTAGCCAAACTCATGTCAAGCAGCTTAGAAGTCTTTTACATGACAAGCTGGCGAAAATGAAAGTGTGGATCTGAATCCCATTCAATTAGTGGACATTTTAGACAAGTTACACTTAAGATTAACTAGCCAGTCAGTCCTGGCTATGGGGGCAGACAAAAGCATAAGGACGATTACCATTGGACTGGTTTCACTTTTACAAATGTTGATAGATTTAAATGAAAGCTTGTAGACAGGTCATCAGCTTACAAATAGTGTTTGATGGTCAGTCGTCTTGGAATAATTTACAGACAGATAGTATTAATGTGAAGGTCAGCATTAAGGAGGATAGAGATCATTTGAGGCTTAAGTGGCGATGATACTGGTTAAGTGAATAGTGATTGTCAATTTGATAGATATTGATGGATTTAAACATTTCAGTTTGTACACAGATCACATCTTCAATATGGAATGTGACTTGATGTATAAGCTGATAAGATGTCTGTTAAACAGAACACAGGTGTCATACTGCAGATTTCTATTTCCAAATGTGTAAATGTTGAATATATTCAAATGCATCATGATTATGCCCACAAAGATTGCTCTCTCTATGATCTCAAAGTTTTCATGTGAATTGAAAACATAAGCTATGTTTTGAAATAGAGTTCATACTTAGCAGAGCCAAGCTGAAAAACAAACTTCGTAAACCCCATTGTTTGTATACACAGGAGCCACAACATATGGAGAAGCTATCCTGGAACTGCTTGAAAGACAGAAGACAGAGAAAGAGGCAATTATAAAACAAGTACAGGGTGTACCATCTGCCATGTTTGTAGAATATGCCTCCTTGTCTCGTCAGTGCATCATACTCGGAGAGGAGTCCGAGTTCAGCACTGGCAGTGTTGCTGTTGGCTTGGCTGAGAGACATCCAGGCCATTCCTACCCAGGGTGAGTTACTTTACAGTGCAAGTACCATGGGTAGGTACAACTTTGCAGAATTGGATAGATCGTAACATCATTACTGCAAATATCATATTGAAAACATTGAAAGTGGCATGTAAATAAGGTTAATTTGCACTTCTGATCTGTCTATCAATTTCGAAGACTGAAACGAAAATACAGTGGAGGCGGATACTGTATTTATAGAGGCTCCATATATGGTTACTGTAAAAGGAGATGTCGTCCTAAATTACACAATACTGTCCCTGGCCACCTCAGTCTATGCCACACGTGCAGCAACCTCACAGAAGACACTTATTTGGGAGGAAAGAAGTCTCAAAATACATGCCAGTGTTGCAAGCCAAAAATGACCACCCTCATGAATATTGCTTGTCTGCCTCAAGCACTTGACATAGGTAGTGAAAGTTGCCATCCTCTAATGTGAAAGGGGCCAGCCCAGCCAGGGGTGGACAGCTGTTTGCAGTGAGCAGTATTAGACAATCGATGCTCAACCAATACACTGATGTAGAGTTTCACATGGAATATACACTAAAGATAAAAAAGGAACTACTTCCACAAGAACCAAATCAGTTTGCCTTTCATGTGTAATAGAGCCCCACACCATGACACTACTGCCCCCATACCGATCATGGTCAAGAATAGTTGCCTTGGCATACCGCTCACTGCTACATCGGCAACAAGGTTTTCTGCCATCTGTGAATCTGAGGAAAAACCTTGATTTGTCTGTAAACATGTTGTAATGCCATTGGCGCACTACCCATCCCTGATGTTGCCTAGCTCACCCCAAAGCTTATATGGTAAGCTGTTAAGGTCACACCCTTAACAGCGTGCCTTGTTTTCATGTGGGCTGCATTGAGCTGGTTTCTAGAATGTTGAAATAGATTTCAATCTATTGCATAGTGCAATAAATTAAAGAGACTACCTTGTCTTGGTGTAATTTCTTTTAGGCCTGCCACACCCAGATCTCACTGCAACCCCCCTGTTTGACAACACTTGTCCTACATTCCCCTTCTATCGTACACACAAAATCCACCATTTTGTCTGTTCATTGAGATAGTGTATCGGAGGCATTTTTAAGTGTGTGTTTAGATCCATTGATCCCCTATAGGCGCACACAGTTTGGCTTCTGTGTGCACATGCATCACATGCTTTTCTTGCATGTTGTGAAATTTCATTGTGATCAGTGTTGCATTGAGATGCAAAGCCAGGGTATTGCCAATGTACACCTCAGTGACAGCTACATTTTCGTCATTAGTTCCCTTACATTTTGTCTGAAGTATATATCAGCTCTCTCAATAAGGCCAAATTGGTCAACTTTGATCAATCACAAGGACACCTATTTACATATTTCAATTCATTGAACCTCAAAAAAATGGGATGGGTTTTCTTTTGTGCCTGAATGATGTACGCCTCCAACCATGCTCCGTGGTCAGGTTGGAGCTGTGTGATGGGATTAGCCACACAACCAGTTGGAACAACTTCTTCTGCAGCAAGACCTCACACAGCTCTTCTTACTGTCAAAAACAAGCAGTCAATGTAATAAGGAGTAAAAATATAAGTATATATATATATACAAAATTCTAGATTTTACAAGTATAGTTGAGAGATGATTTCTTGCAACAGGTATAACTGGGATCGGACAAGGTCTGAAAGTTTAGCAAAAGAACGGCTGGAACAGCATATTGGACATCGGCCAGTGAGAACAGGTGGTGTTGTCACTGAAGTAGACAGTAGCGATGTAAGCCGGCTGGACCTGCAGATACTGGTGGTAACTGAGCTGGAGAGGAAGCAGTACTTGGAGAGAGAGGTGATTTGCCTGAAGGCTGTTGCCTACGACTGAGTAACTTCTGTGTTATTCAAGACCTCAAGTTTGACAGTATGACTGATAAATTGATGTTTATGAGGATGAAAGAGACTGATAGTTTTATGCTCAGTTTGTACACAGACATAAGTGGCCCAAGGGCAGACAGCAGACACCCTAGATTGAAAAACATTTAGGGTTAATTCACGGACTGCCTTCAGGATTGTGCTTTTGAAAATAAAATTACATCATACACAAGCTCTCCAATGCCTCTGCCTTTGTTCTTAAAGAGATTAAGTTTTCACTAATCCTGCATTGAATATTACTTTTTCTTTTCTCTGTTACAGGCTATCATTCACATGCTACAAGGACATGACATGCAGGCTGCAGTATATGGTGCAATGAAGATGTCAGCTACAGAGCGCAAGAGACGAGCAGTTATGTTGAGGAACCAACATTTGAGCTGGCGTGAGAGTGTTAAGAGTGACAGTCACTCCACTGCTCACACTGATGTGCTGCAAGAAGGTAAGCCCCTCCACTGCTCACACTGACATACCGCAGGAAGTTAAGCCCCTCCACTGCTCACACTGACATACCACAGGAAGTTAAGCCCCTCCACTGCTCACACTGACATACCGCAAGAAAGTAAGCCCCTCCACTGCTCACACTGACATACCGCAGGAAGTTAAGCCCCTCCACTGCTCTGACTGACATACCACAGGAAGTTAAGCCCCTCCACTGCTCACACTGACATACCGCAAGAAAGTAAGCCCCTCCACTGCTCACACTGACATACCGTAGGAAGTTAAGCCCCTCCACTGCTCTGACTGACATACCACAGGAATGTAGGCCCCTCCACTGCTCACACTGACATACCACAGGAATGTAAGCCCCTCCACTGCTCACACTGACATACCTCAGGAATGTAAGCACCGCCTCTGTTCACACTGACATACCTCAGGAATGTAAGCCCCTCCACTGCTCACACTGACATACCGCAAGAAAGTAAGTCCCTCCACTGCTCATACTGACATACCGCAGGAAGTTAAGCCCCTCCACTGCTCACACTGACATACCGCAGGAAGTTAAGCCCCTCCACTGCTCACACTGACATACCGCAGGAAGTTAAGCCCCTCCACTGCTCACACTGACATACCGCAGGAAGTTAAGCCCCTCCACTGCTCACACTGACATACCGCAGGAAGTTAAGCCCCTCCACTGCTCACACTGACATACCACAGGAATGTAAGCCCCTCCACTGCTCACACTGACATACCGCAGGAATGTAAGCCCCGCCTCTGTTCACACTGACATACCTCAGGAATGTAAGCCCCTCCACTGCTCACACTGACATACCGCAAGAAAGTAAGCCCCTCCACTGCTCATACTGACATACCGCAGGAATGTAAGCACCACCTCTGCTCACACTGACATACCGCAGGAATGTAAGCACCGCCTCTGTTCACACTGACATACCACAATGTAAGCCCCTCCCCTGCTCATACTGATATGCTGCAAGAAGGTAAGCACCTCCACTGCTCAAAATGACATACCGCAGGAATGTAAGCCCCTCCACTGCTCACACTGACATACTGCAGGAATGTAAGCCCCTCCAATGCTCATACTGAGATGCAGCAGGAATGTAAGCCCCTCTACTGCTCATACTGACATACCGCAGGAATGTAAGCACCTCCACTGCTCACACTGACATACCGCAGGAATGTAAGCACCGCCTCTGTTCACACTGACATACCACAATGTAAGCCCCTCCACTGCTCATACTGATATGAAGCAGGAATGTATGCACCGCCTCTGCTCACACTGAGATGCAGCAAGAATGTAAGCACCTCCTCTGCTCATACTGACATACCACAGGAAGGTAAGCCCCTCCACTGCTCACACTGATATACTGCAGGAATGTAAGCCCCTCCACTGCTCATACTGAGATGCAGCAGGAATGTAAGCCCCTCCACTGCTCATGCTGAGATGCAGCAGGAATGTAAGCACCGCCTCTGTTCACACTGAGATGCAGCAGGAATGTAAGCCCCTCCACTGCTCATACTGACATACCACAGGAATGTAAGCCCCTCCAATGCTCATACTGAGATGCAGCAGGAATGTAGGCCCCTCCTCTGTTCACACTGAGATACCACAGGAATGTAAGCCCCTCCACTGCTCATACTGAGATGCAGCAGGAATGTAAGCCCCTCCACTGCTCATGCTGAGATGCAGCAGGAATGTAAGCACCGCCTCTGTTCACACTGAGATGCAGCAGGAATGTAAGCCCCTCCACTGCTCATACTGACATACCACAGGAATGTAAGCCCCTCCAATGCTCATACTGAGATGCAGCAGGAATGTAAGCCCCTCCTCTGTTCACACTGAGATACCACAGGAATGTAAGCCGCTCCACTGCTCATACTGAGATGCAGCAGAAATGTAAGCACCTCCTCTGCTCATTCTGACATACCGCAGGAATGTAAGCCCCTCCACTGCTCATACTGAGATGCAGTAAGAATGTAAGCACCTCCACTGCTCATACTGAGATCCCACAGGAATGTAAGCACCTCCTCTGTTCACACTGAGATACCAAAGGAATGTAAGCCCCTCCAATGCTCATACTGAGATGCAGCAGGAATGTTAGCATCTCCTCTGTTCACACTGAGATGCAGCAGGAATGTAAGCCCCTCCACTGCTCATAGTGAGATGCCGTTGAAATGTAAGCACCTGCTCTGCTCATACTGACATACTGCAGGAATGTAAGCACCTCCTCTGCTCATACTGAGATACAGCAGGAATGTAAGCACCTCCTCTGCTCACACTGAGATGCAGTAGGAATGTAAGCACCTCAACTGCTCATACTGAGATCCCACAGGAATGTAAGCACCTCCTCTGTTCACACTGAGATACCACAGGAATGTAAGCCCCTCCAATGCTCATACTGAGATGCAGCAGGAATGTTAGCACCTCCTCTGCTCATGCTGAGATGCAGCAGGAATGTAAGCACCGCCTCTGTTCACACTGAGATGCAGCAGGAATGTAAGCCCCTCCACTGCTCATACTGACATACCACAGGAATGTAAGCCCCTCCAATGCTCATACTGAGATGCAGCAGGAATGTAAGCACCTCCTCTGTTCACACTGAGATACCACAGGAATGTAAGCCCCTCCAATGCTCATACTGAGATGCAGCAGGAATGTTAGCACCTCCTCTGCTCATACTGACATACCGCAGGAATGTAAGCCCCTCCAATGCTCATACTGAGATGCAGCAGGAATGTTAGCACATCCTCTGCTCATACTGACATACCGCAGGAATGTAAGCCCCTCCAATGCTCATACTGAGATGCAGCAGGAATGTTAGCACATCCTCTGCTCATACTGACATACCACAGGAATGTAAGCCCCTCCAATGCTCATACTGAGATGCAGCAGGAATGTAAGCACCTCCTCTGCTCATACTGACATACCGCAGGAATGTAAGCCCCTCCAATGCTCATACTGAGATGCAGCAGGAATGTTAGCACATCCTCTGCTCATACTGACATACCGCAGGAATGTAAGCCCCTCCAATGCTCATACTGAGATGCAGCAGGAATGTAAGCACCTCCACTGCTCACACTGAGATCCAATCAATGCATTTTGTCTGTTCTCATGGTCGCAGTGGCGCATTCATACATAAGACAACAGTCATGAGTGATGTCATCCGACGTACTACTTACTTTTCATAAATCATGTGACCCTACACCTAAACCTAATAAGGATTTCCGTCCTCTTTGGATTATCAAGGCCATGATGTTAATGCGAACAAGACAGGATCAAAGATGCGTGATGCAGAGTTAAACATTTTCACCTCAAAGAAAATTACCAAATATGTACAACAATGTTTTCTACTGTATGACATCGCTGCCTGTGACCGACTTTTACAAAATGGCGTACAATACATTGGATTTTCAGAGGAGGATTTCTTTGATTGAGGGATGGTACATAAATGTATACATAAATGTTTCATGGAGGTAAAAGGAAACAATCAGACAATCTGTGTACTGTTATTTGTTTTTATGTTTTCCAATGTAACCAAGAGAATTTGTCAGAAATACAGATAACTGCCGTCGTCGTTGTGCGTGACTTTGCGCCAGTCATGGCTTCTCACACAGGACGCAAACGTTTACGATTTCTGTTAAATTTACCTCATCATTGTAATGTATATATTTTTTTTCAGTAATTTTTGCTACGATACTCTTCCCACGATTATTCTCAACGCGCCAGCCAATGTATTCAGCAATTAGGCGAATGGATCTCTCAAAATAGGAGAGTGTAAAATCTGCATTTTGCTTTGTTCACAAGTACAGTTTACAGTTTGATTCTAAAATGTATGAGGAATTCAGGGATGCATGTATCACAGGCAGGGGTCCGGAAACCGTCATATGCGCCGGACATGTCCGATTGGGAATCTCAAATGTCCGGTTTAAAATATTGCTTACCTGACATTTAAATTTTTCTGTCCGGACATTTTAAAAAGTATTGTCCGGACATTCTTAAATTTTGACCGGACGTGATCAACAGTTTGGACTGAGCAGTTTCTGTCTGCAGTTGTAACACAATGAAGATTATCTACACTGACAAGCTTTGTTTGTTTTGATTGCTGTAAATACATTGTACCTACATGATAGTCCAATCGGTCAATCACTGTAATAGGCAATAAACTGAGTTGACACTGATTAATCGAGGATTAATTACTGAGAACATCTTGTTAATTTGAGTAAAATGTGTTTACAGCTTCTTCAGATTCACAGCTGAGTTTGAGATGTACGTGATCTAATAGGCCAGCATACGTGAAACGTGATTTGTAAACACTATCCAATGTGGAGGAAAATGCACTTCGGTGTTCATGCTTGTGTATTTTCCCAAATATTCTAAACGATTCAAGGTTCATCGATGACGTTTCAGAATTATCATTGGTGTTTTGGTGAAAAACAGATTCCCGTGATCACTAATATGCTATTTTTGAAATTCAATCCTTCGACTAAATATCCAATATTTAGATTTCTAAACACGCTAATTTTGCATGTCTAAAATGACAGTGGATTATATCACAGAAGATGGAATTTCCCAGAGAATTCAAAACTTTTTGGGTGCTTGATTTATTTGAATTTTAGTCGACTTTGAAGTGCAGAGTTGCATCCCTTGGGCACGCCAGAAACCTATGATTATGTTTCTAGGTATGTCAGCACCATACCCATGCTTGTGGGTTTCACCGAGGGGGTAAACGTCTGAGACCTGCATCACATCGGGCTTTCCTCCCACATTAAGCTCACACACCGTGATATACCTGGAATAACTCACTCACTCACTCACACTCTTGTGATGTGAGGGTTGAAGAGGAGAGACATATATATTGTTGGATCATATTTCGGACATCATACGTTTTCAGACGGCCATGTTTATCGTGAATTACTCCCGCTATAACGAGGGTTGTGGTGTCAACAGTCATTGCAAATACTCAGATGATGGTTTGATGTGAATGAGATGTTTTACGGTTCTTGTGATTAGCAAATGTTTCTTAAGTATCCGAAAACCCATAACACAGGGATATATCTATTTGTTGCTGTGGCATCCGAGGGGGGTGGGGGTTAACACTCTAAAACCATATCATTCAACACAGACATAGGTTGACATTCGACTGAAGCACGACCAACTTATCAATGACTTAAGGCCAGGAAAGTAGTCCATCATAATCTGACCTCAGGTCATCACCATGGAGTAGCCAATCACTGGCCTGTAATTTGATCTCAGACATATGTTTGATACCAGTTATCACAAATAGGTTTCTAACCAACACATGCTCAACAAGAGGTACCTATCATCACCTCTGGTGCTCAGAACTGGGGATTAGATAACAAGCCTCGATCTTATCCTGCATTACTCCTTTAGGCATTTACTGCCAACTTTGACAGAAATGAGGCTGTGGTAGAGGATCACGAGACATCTTCTGAGTGGGATACCCACCTCAGCCTTGCTCAGATGCCGGATTGGATGTCAGACTGCCTGAGTGTGGTAGTGCCCTCTCCTGGAACAGGTGTTGACAAGAGGGAGACCATTTGGTCGCACCTCTATCCCGCCTGATCCTATGCTTAAGGATATGGTCCTATGGGACAAGGACTTCGCTCAATTACCACTCTCTCCAACGTTGGAGGTACGCCTTTGAGGACCTCACCTCCACGACAGATCTACCACTTGAAGCAGCATCGGCTTCTGCATGCCAACATAGACATTCTGTTACTAAAAAGATCTAATGAGATTATGTGCGCCCCAGCCACAACAGGATTCTACTGTCCCATCTTTCTTGTACCAAAAAAGGACTCCCAACTAGATGAGAATAATTCACTATCTCTCTGTGTTCATCGAGCGCTACCTGGAGCGTCCGCATTACTTCAGCCTAACTACCTAGAGAGCTTCAGGACAAGAATCAATGCTTACGACTCCCTGATCAGCCTCCACAACAGGATGCTTACCTGCATGTCCCTATCCATCCCAGTGACCGGAAGTTCCTCAGGTTCCAGTTCAATGGTGTCTACTACTGTCACCTGCTCTCCAGCAACCCCTCACAATTCGTCAGTGGCAAGTGCTCCTGGGATTGCTCATGTCAGCCCAGGATTTGATGAGCAGATGTCGCCTACACCTGCATCGGATCCAACAGTTCCTGAGGCTCTACATCAGACGCCAAGACCCTTGGATTATTTGAATTGGGAAACTTGATTCATTGCAGAGTGGAGACCTGTCACATACCGAGGAAACTCAACATATTGGCAGACAGTCTTTCTCATCAGGAAAGGGTAGTAGCTACAGAGTGGTTGCTCCACCTGGGGGTGTTTTGATGGATAATGTCAGTGTGGGACACACCTCACTTGGATCTCTGCACCACATGTTAAACAACAAGCTCCCAGTATACATCAGTTCAGTACCAGATCCTCAAGCTATTCAATTGGATGCTTTATTCATGGATTTATCGTGGATGTTTGCTTATGCCTTCCCTCCTTGGGCTGTCCTTGACAGAGTGATCCGTAAGATCGAGGAGTCAGACTGCAAGATCTTTCTCATAATGCCAGTATGGCAAGCCTGGACCTGCTTCCCCAGATGAAGAACTTCTCAGTTTACTGGAATGCCAAGATCTGTTACTACAACCAAGATCATGAAAAGAAATCTTCACGCTCTCCAACTTCACACTTGGAGGTTATTGAGCAAAAGATGTTATTCTCCTTCTACTCAAAATCATCTTTAGAGGCATGTGCTCCATCTTGGAGACCATCCTCCTCAGCCCTTCATGACCAAAGATGGGGAAAATACTGTCAGTGGCGCAGAAGATGAGGATTGGATTGGAAACTGTAACAATGCCTATAGTGGTTAAACTTCTTCATAGATTGACAAAGCCCAATATGGCACCATTGAGGGATACCGTTCTGTCCTTACATCAGTTCTACAACATGACAGGCTAAAAACTAGTACTCATCTAGTACTCATTTGTCTTATGAGATTGTTTATGATTGAGGTCCTGAAGACTCCATGCAATATTCCCAAATGGAACCTTTCAGTGGTTCTTTTGGCACATTTAGAGGCTTCATTTGAAAGAGAGATTGGAGCAATAATACTGTGAGTGCCTTTCCAGACTTGTTGGCACCAAAAAAATTAGGCCTCGTCTGTGGGAAGATTTTGACACAGATTTTACACAATTCCTGCTCTTGGCATGGATCCATGAGCTACCGGTAGACACCTTTGCCCTGTGCATGCTCTCAGAAACTATATAACAGCTACTCAAGCTCACTGGAGGCATAGAAAATGCTGTTTATATCATGCAAAACCAGCTTTAGTTGAGGACATAACTAAAGCCGCTGTAGCAGGTTGGCTCAAATCAACTATCTCTGACAGATATAGACATATGGAATTGGTGATTCCTATGTTTGGAACCTTTACAAGGCAGGAGATTAGGCCTTATCAACAAGCCTTGCCTCATGGAAGACTGTCCAGTTGTCAATGAAAGTCCAACATTTACCGCATTCTATTGAAGGTACATTCTGCTAAATTTATAATGTAGTTTTAGCCTCTGGGCTGGTAGTGGCAGATATATCATCACTCAATAGCTTGCCCCACCTTGACTAGAAAGTTGTGTTATTTTCTGCCTATTGTCTACCAGGTTTTAGACTCCTGTGTAGTGGATTTGCACAGTCTACACACTGTTTGTTATGTTTATAACTCCATAAATGCAGGTATTTTGCATAAATCTGGACCATGACTTGACACAGCATGCACAAAATACTGAAGCCAAGTCTAAGTAATAATGAAGAATGACCCAGTTGTACAGCTCAATTAGGATGTATCTGAACACTACAACTATATTTTATGTTGAAACCCTAACATCAGGGGTGAAAATGATCGAAAGTCATTGTCTTTTAGAGAATGTGAAACAGGATCATTTCACAGGCATCCAAGAGAAAAGTTAAAACTGCATGTAGACAAAATGTGCTTGCATCAATTCATGCCTTAGTTCAACTATGGCTGATGATATGCGTGATGTGTTGCAGGAGTGGGCCTTTACTGGGCAGAGCGACAGGCCAAGATACAACAGACCATTACCAACCCAACAGACAGGGAGATAGCTGCCACTATCTTGGCTGATCTACAGCATTCTGAAGAGGTGGAATTTCAGATCAAATTATCAGATCTGCACAATAAGGTAAATGGTGCTTGCAACATATGAATTTATTTTTTTCTGTTTCAATTTGCCAGATGATCAGCAAACAATATTCCTAACCTGATGTATTTTGAAGATCACTCTTAGTGGAAAGAAAATAGATGTCTGACGAACATGACTAAATATATTCACGTACATACATTATTCAAACATAAATAGCTAAAATTACCACAAAATGTCAGGTTGCTGATAAAAAAATGCATGGAAGAAAATTTCTGCTACTTACATAGCAGATGTGAATGCATTTTCCCAAGGCGAGGGAGTTCACTGACTATAAAAGTCCAGTCTCCACCCTTGCCGAACTAGTCTGGAATTTGATCAATGATCAAGATCTATATTGTAATAGAATGAGTCTTAGTTTACGAAGTGCATCAGATCACGTGGGCAACTTGATTAAAAACATGTAAAGATTTGGAAAGTATTTGTTGATGCCGATTTGGCGGGTACACATTCTTTGCAAGTCAGAGCAATGGTCAAGGTCATCATCGAGTTCAAAGCCTGAAGAAAATATTTGTTTACCACCTCAAGTTCAGTGAAACATCTTCAGGGTGGGGGTGTGATAAGAAAAGGTCATAAGTGACCTACCTTTAAGGTTAAGGTCACAGGTTATTTATACTTAAAGATGTTTGCCAGGTTTTGTCACTTTATGTAATGTATGTATGTAGCTGTTATCTTATTTGAAAATCAAAGGTATGACAAGTAATCACAGTCTGATGAAAATAGTATTTGCCCATGGCCTATCCCAATGAGCAACAAGTCAACTTCACTCCCAAATGAAGTGAAGTGAATACTATAGTACTGGTAGTTTGGAATTTGGTACATATCATCCTCTGGGGAACATTGGAGTGGTCAGGTTTCTAGTGATTGTACTCTGTTCTGCCTTTCTGTATATGAACTAACTCCTTGTATGCCATGTGTGTAAGATCTTGCACCTATGTGTCCAACTTGAAATAATCAGTCATGTGATTGGCTGAATGTGTGTATTGTACCATGAGATGATATGTCAATACAAAACATTGTATAAATGTATAAGGAGGAGAGGATGTGGACACTTTTATAATACTCTCATACTTTGTAAGAATGTTAAACAATATTAAGATCAAATAAATAATGTTGTTACTAGTTTGTTGATGATCTATATTAAAAAAAGAACTGCCAATAGTAGGTTGAAAGAAATGAAGCTTAATTTGATTTATTTGTGAAGGTTTGTGAACAATTTCTGGTGTCCTGATATTGTATCATGACTTTCCTCAAATGCAAAATGTGGATCATGTTAACACACACTTCTCATTTTCATCTAGACAATGAAGGAACTTAGTCAGATACTGAGGAAAGAAAGTCGAAGTCAACTGCTGGAACATTTTGACAACATAGCTTATGTAGTGCTTGGTGCAGTGGAGATTGGCGACAGTGAGAAGGTGTACATGGATGCATTACAGGAGAAATACAGAGTTCTACGTGACGCTGTGCTCCTTTTCTCAGTGAAAGACCAGTATGGTTCAGAGTGGATCAGGTAAGTCAAATGGGCAGGTATACATGTTATGGAAGCAGCATTGTTATATGATTTTCTTGTCACGCAGAAGTATAAGATTTTCAGATGATGCCCCTAGAGTACATTCTGTGCAGTCCATGCATCCATCATGTCCACTTCTGCTGAAGACTACACGGAGGAAAGCTGACGGCATGCCAGTACCTGTGTAACAGGCTGAAACATTCCCCTGGCCAGTGAGTTCTTCCCCGGGGAAGGTCTGGCCGTGGCAAACTTGTCCCCTTCCCTGGCCAGACCTTCCCTGCTGAAATGAGGTGGGCAAGGTTCAGTCCAGTCCAGTTCTATCTCATCCTGGGCCTGTTCCTCTCCACTGTGGTCATACAGTGTCCTGGTGGAGATATATGTAATTCACTAATTTCAGCTTTGTCACCTGGTGTGATGCAGAAAAGGTATGATTGATGACATACTTTTGAATAGGCATCAGTTAGTCGACAGCAAAATGGTCTACACGCAGGAATGGCCTGGCACTTGAAATTTGGCTTACCCAGCAACGACTCAAAGATTTTTGGGTGACTTTATGCTCACCTGGGACCAGAAGATCCTGCATGATAGTGCTTATACATACAATCTTTTCCCATGATATTCTGACCTCCACATTTTCCCATATTGGTTCTCGTGATGGTACTGCAATAGCTGATCATAGTTTGAACAGCCATGAGCGCTGATTTTGGCCTGGAAGCTCAGAGAATCCCCTGGTCCCTGCTTGGATGACCCTAGGCCTATCATGACAACATGTTAAACCCTCGCCTCATATCAAACCACACTGAAAAACAACACATCTTTCTTTCTTGCCAACCTCTACAGCATTCCCCCTGGATTAATTGAGTAGTATAGGTAATGGGGATTCTGGACCACTTCCACAGGAGCCAGATTTATATACCTATACAACCAATACAGGGGGAATTTTTTATGTGTAAACGCTGATGCAATTTAATGATCGTCATGAGTCGTATTAAAAGAAACATCAATATTAATTAATAATGAATAAAATTTACTATAGCCCACAGGGATATCGGAAAGGTAAAGGAGCAATAAAAAAATTAGCCACTGCGGCTAAGGTATCTAAAGATGTGGCCAAGGATTGGTTAAAGAAACAAGCAAATTGGCAAATATACTTACCGGCACCGCGTTATATACCGAGGAAGAAGTTTGATATTTTTACAACGAATGAAGTTCATCAGGCTGACCTCTTGTATCTTCCCCATGATAAGGTAAGACGCAAAACGTATAAAAACGCTTTAACCGTAGTGGATGTGGCTAGTTGATACAAAGAGGCTGAGCCATTAACCTCGAAAGATTCAACAGAAGTAGCTAATGCACTAAGTCGCATGTATAAATGCGGACCACTAAAATCGCCTAAGTTATTTCAAGTAGATCCCGGTCGCGAGTTTATGGGATCAGTAACTAAACTGTTAACAAAGCACGATGTCGAAATCAGGCGTGGTGAAAAAGAGGCCCACCGTAGTCAAGCTAACGTTGAAAGATTTAACCGGACATTAGCGGAACGTTTGTTTGGCTATCAGTATGGGATCGAAATGAAATCGGATAGATTAAGATCAACCGAATAGGTGAAACGATTATCAGCTGTTGTATCAGCGCTGAATAATGAAGTAACGAGATTAATCGGGAAGAAACCATCCGATGCGATTAAAATGAAATCTGTGACTTCCGAATCTTCAGCACCGAGGAGAGGCAAAGAACAAAAACTTCCGGATAAAGTAAGCGTAAGATATTTATACCAGCCCGGTGAACTCGTAGGAGGCCTACGTCGCGCAACCGATCTGATTTGGTCCCTTAAGACATATAATATTAGTCGATTGGTTATGAAAGAAGGAGAGCCTATTCTTTATTATCTTAAAGATCGACTGGGCAGGGCATTTGTACGAGAAGAGTTGCTTATAGTTCCCGACGATACAGTATTACCACCATAACCATCAGCATAGGTAGTAACACCATCCTTATCAATCCATCTCTTTGTATCTAAGGGGGGTAATGATGTCTTGTTCATTCTTAATCCATATATCCTATGATTGTAACTTCTTAAAGAGTTCATCTCGTGTTTGAATGTTCTACCGTTGAATAATGCTTCTTTGTACTGTTCGTGTTTGATATGCTTTTTTACCACATACTTCTTAACGCCCTTAGCTTTTCTTATCTCTCCATTATCGGACTTCTTTATAGAATACATCTTAGGTCTTAATACGACATACTCCACAATTGGGGTCCCAGCACATTCATCCTTCATCTTACCTAACACCTTTATATTTACTACGCTGTGCAGTGGATTATCTTTTGGGTAATCGCTCGTGTCGTACATATCTATTCTCTTTCAGATTAAATACTTGGGGCACTTATTGCATTTTCCTGGCTCAAGAAAATCTACATGACATAGTTGTAACCATTTTCCTTAATAAAAATTGTTACCACACAAAAAACTTTGTTTTTGTATGATATACGTCCACCCTTATGGTGCCTCACCCTCCACGGCGCGTCACGCCAAGGGAAGCAACTCTCACCCAAATCACTTTCCTTATGTCATCTGACAAAGACAGACGTGCTGTTTTTTTCAAGACAAAACAAAGTACAAGATAATCGTTCGTACAAGAACCATGGCAGACCAAACTGTATGTATGGTACATTTCTTTCATGCAAAGGCGTAATACCTCGCAATATAAAGTTATAAAGTTGTAATTATGTGACACGTGTACGATACCTTTGAATCAAAGGCCGTCGTAGCGTCCATTTTGTAGTGCCACGTATGATACATGTAACACCAGGGCCATCAAAAACGGCTTGGGTTTTTTAATGTTATATCATCGGGCTTTAGGCTACAATCTTTTCCTTTAAATTAAACCCAAGGTGGTGTGTTAATTATTTTTAAATTACACTTACCTTTTTTACGGGTTTTTTACACCTTCGCGCGTAACACGCCCACTTTGGTGTTATAATTATACTTCGACATTGGCTATTAGTATCGCCTTACCAATCACATTCTAAATTACGCCTTTGCTTCTAGTTACACAATTTATGCACGTATCTTTCCGATCTTTCAATTGCACTGATACACTTTATTACCCTTCCCGCCAAACTAAAAAATTACGGTCTTTTTTACAGACCTTCAAACTGTGTACGGGGTGCTCGGCTTCGATTCCCCCCCAAGACAGGCATGATACTTGCATAAAGTGTTTGGCCGAAGACGGGCATGACGATGGGTCATGCCCGATCTGTGTTGCATTCACACCACAGGCGCAGAAAAAGAGAAATGTGGACCTCTTACACTTTAAGGGTCTATTGAAGGCGGGGGTGGACATTAGATCGGCAAGGACAGCCCCCCCCCCCTCTAAAAAAGTAAGAAAGGGTAAAAAAGCAGCTGAGACTGTCTCTTCCGCTCCCTCCCCGGGGGCCGGGGGAGAAGGCTCTAGGGTCCCCGGCACAATCACTGCACCCTCTCCTGCACCGTCTTTGGCAGACATCTCTGCCTTGTTGAGGTCGCAGATGGCGTCGATGATGGAGGAGGTAAAGTCTCAGCTCCGAGAGGAGATGCGGACCGAGCCTTCCCCGTTGTCGGCGCCGGACGCGGCTTCGAGACCTTGTGATATGCCCGGCGTCGGCCGAGGCAGGCCACTTGGTCTCGGGGACGATCTCAGACCGGGCTTCGGCGCCGGCTCGAGGTCGCTCCCCAGCGGAGGGGTGGCGGGCACTGGCCCGTTCACTACCGACGCACAGTTCTCCCTAGCGGAGCCAGACGCCTCCTCCGAGGTCGAGGCTTCCTCTAGCGGATTTTCTAGCCCAGAGCCAGGTGGGTTCCTTGAACCCCCGGCACCTCGGGACCGGGACTCGGCTTCGGGCCGGGTGCAGCCCGGGGATGCGAAGGCCCAGGCCTTCGGGCGTCCCCTTCCGACTTCGTCTGCCGCTTCTCTCGGGGAAGAGTCGATTAATTTCGGCTCGGAATCAAGAGAGGAGGAGTGGATGGAGGAGGGGGGAGACGACTCGGAGACCTCAGGAATATTTTCCTTCGTTTCCTCGTTGAGGCATGTACGGGACAAGATTGTCCAGGTACTGCCTCAGGTGGCTGCGCCCATGCCCCAGTCGGATCCGACTGAGTTCCGCCTTCCGGGGGACACTTTTGCTCCGAGCAAGGCGCCCCAGGTGCGGCTCCGTATTCTGTCCTCATTGGTGCATGAAGTCATCAACCCTCTGTTGTCGGGTGCCCGCAGGAAGTTCGACCTGCCCGAACTTATTAAACGGTACCCGTTAGCAGAGGATGGTGATTTTGAGGTACCGGTGGTGGACGAATGCGTCTGGACCTCCGTTACCCTGGGGGGGTCTTCGACCCCCAACTTGGCTAAGGTCAAGCAGGGCCGGCGGTTCCACCCTATCGCGTGCGGTACGGAGCTGAAGGCTGCTTACTTTGCTTCGAGGAGCAATATCGTAACGCATGTCAGCAGCTCCGGGTGTCCGTACACTCCGCTTATCTGAGGGACGCTATTCGTAGCTGTGCCTCGCAGATGATGTGCGCAGTCATGGGCATGCGCAGGCTGTGGATGTCGGTATCCAAATACTCGGCTTCCACACGCCAGGATCTACTTGCTTTGCCTTATAAGATGGGTGCCACCCTCTTCCCTGGGGCTCAGCAGGTGGTCCGAGAGGCCGCACAGTTGTATGCCTCCATCAAGGATTCTAAGGCCTTGTTGGAGGTACCATGCGTTAAACCGCGTAAGCGGACCTCTCCACTTGCTTCCTCCTACGCTGATGCGCCGGGTCAGAAGTCTGCACCTGCTTGGAAGCAGCCGATTCCTTCAGGTAAGGGCGCCGGGAGGAGCAAGAGAGGCCGGGGCAGGGCAGCTGGTCGAGGCCAGCAGCCTTTTCGCGGGGCCGGGAACCCATCAGGTTCCCATTAGCGCCCGAAGCCGACAGCCGGGGTCCACTGCCTCAAGCCGGATGTCCCAGTAGGCGGCCGACTG